TATATAGTTCTATGTTAATTTTATACAGTATTTTTCATGCTCTGTGATTTGGCCACAGCCCATGGACTGAGGTTAGATGTGGGATTTTCCATTTGTGTCTTGCCAGTGATCAAATAGTTTCAAGTTCTGGAGTATTCAGATTTGGGGTTTTGAGATTAGAGATGTTCAATTTGCACAAAGAAACATTGTATATTCGTGTAATGTGGACTTGTATTTATCAGTACTCTTGGCTGAGAGTGATGGAAAGTCAACTCGCAGAGCCTCTAAAGTGGATTTTATTGAATCACTTAGCTGGGAAGTTGAGGGGCTCTGGCATCCAACTTGGCTAGATTGGTGGGATCAGATGGCACGAGTATTTCTCTCTTTTCTGCCTGTTTTCCTTCTTGGTGGATTCCTCAGAAAGACTGTATGGCTGCCAGGAAGGTTACCCAAAGTCTTAGGTTTTCACTACCCTTGGTAACCTCATCCTCAAATATAGACTCTCCCATGGTAGGTTCTGCAGGAAGCCAGGCCTTGATGCTCATTGACCAGGCTTGCACCAATATGCCCAACCCTGATTGCTTTGCTGCTTAGGAAGTGTTCTGATCAGCAAGGTCTATATTGGGCACTCACCCGTGGAGCTAGGTACCAGGTGCTTTCCATTCTGTCCAAGACAGGCAAGTCCAAAGGGAAAGAGGGAGGAAACAGCCCCAGTGCCTCAGTGTTAATTTTCAACCCTTCAGAAGTCTTCTTACAAGACAGTGCAGTGGGCTTCCATTTTACCCCCTCTGTATGGTGGGTTGCATGAACATCTTGCAAATTTGATGGGATTCAATGGAATGCTTTTCTTTGGCGCATAATCACCTTCAAAGATTAGTTACATTGTAGGAAGTAGACACTGGGGCATGTTCCAGTATCCTGAGTAGGTAAAATATACCTAGACGATGTATTTATTTTTTCAGGAAGCTTGTTATAACTGTTAGTTTGGGTGCCTGTGAAGAATTAATGCAACTCCTCAAAGTACCTAACTTTTCTTTGGGAAGAAGTTTCTCCTAAATTTTAGGCTGTGACTTATAAGCCTTCTCTTTTTTTTTTTTTTTAACCGAGAATTTGAATGTGATACTGGGATACTGGGTATCCAGCACCCAGTGGGATGTGCCATTTTGCTTCTCATCCTGGTGTTTCTTGGAAGCACTGTACTACGTGGGTGTTCTCTGTTTACCAGTAGAAACAGTGGGGATTGGAGCTTTAAAAAAAGAAAGGAAAAGAAAGGAGGGGAGAGGAGGAGGGAAGGGATCAGTGTACACAGAAAACAGGGAGCAGGGGAGGGAGGGGAGAAGAGTTTGAGCGTGGAAGACGGGAGAGGAGAGGAGGGGAGGGAAGGGAAGGGAAGGGAAGGGAAGGGAAGGGAAGGGTGAGAAGGAAAAGAAAAAAGACAAAAGAAAATGCCTGCCTTTCTTTATTGGCCTGGGAGTCAGCCTCTTGAGTTAATAGTCTGCATTTCCTCTGGGCCCAAAGCTGAAGTCAGCAAGTGGTAAGCTTCATTCAGGAACTGTGGCCAGTTCAGTTACTAGGACCTCAGACATGGAGGCATCACTTGAAATGTTGATTGCTTTTTAAAATTACAATTTCACTTGATTGATTCAACACTCACCCTACCCTTCTAATATACAGACCAGTTATTTTTAATTAAGAAAACATGTTGTCTCTGATTTGGGTTTTAGAAAAGGCATCCAATTACTATTTTCCAAGTCTCTTTTAACCTTTTATTTCAATTTGATGAGGTAAATTAATTATGGATGTTGAAGTGGCCTAATTTGTAATGAGGTCCCAGTGTCTCTGTTGTCTCTTGGTCTTCCCACCCCTACCTCCCAACCTAGTCCTTCTGCTTTGCTTTGTGCCTTCCAGTAGTCCAGGGAAAGGAGCCCATGCCAAATCCCTCTGGTCTCACATATTTAAAAATCCCAAGAAATCATCAAGACGAAGGAGCCTCCTCTGTCTTCTAAGAACCACTCCAGTGGATTGAGAAAGAACTCACATTCAGTCCATTAAAGTACAACTTAGCTCTTTCTTCTGTTAATGGTCATGGACATGTAGAGAGATGGATTCTTCTCCAGGAAAAGAATACCAGGGGTACAGACACAGCTCAATTAGTAGGGCACCTGCCTAGCATGCACAAAGCCCTAGGTTTGATCCCCAGTACTATGTAAACCAGGCATGGTAGTGCATATCTCTAACCCTAGCACTTGGGAGGTGGAGGTAGAAAGGTCAGATGTTCAAGGTCATCCTTGGATAAACAGGGAGTTGGCAGCCAACCTTGGATACATTATGAGACTCTGTGTTAAACACAATAAAAAGCCCCAAGCAGTTCACTAACCAGTTAAATAACAGCAAAAACAAACAAATCACAGAAAATAAAGAAAAAAAAAAGGATTTCCAGAAAGATGGCTTGTGCTTGGAGAATGGACATCTGGCTTTAGGCTTCCCTTCCAGGCCCCAGATAGGGGCAGAGGTTACCAAGCTTTTGTGAACCAGGTCAGCGTTGCTAAATCAGAAAAGTTGCCATCTCCAGTGTAACTCCAACCACTTTCCCCTTATAAGCCTTGGAGTCTTTCAGAAGTTGAAGGAAGAGACAGCTGTGCCTTGGCTGCCCTCTTCCACAACAGTCCTAGGGAGCTGACACTCCTCCCTGAAGGAGCTGTGTCTGGAAGAAGCCCACCAGACATCCTCTTACACCCAAGTATAGAGGTTAGCCTCATTCATCAAATCACCTGTCATCAGAGTGAAACCAGACAAGGAACTATTTTAGAAACTGAGCTATGGAAACCTGAGACAGCCAGGCTTGCCTATCACAGGGAAGTGGCCAAGAGCCCACCCACTGCCTCTTGCTCCATGCAGCCCACCCCAACCTGCTCCAACATTTGTATTTGACTTTCAAGCTGGACTCTGCAGGCATGTGCACCAGACAGTGGGTTTGAAGGGAAGTCTCCCCGCATGGTGTTCATGCACTCTGGCTTCTCTGCAGCTGTCTACTCCACAGGAATAGTGGACATTGGCTGAATCGCCCTTCTCCCATGGGCTTGGACAGCCTCAGGACATGTCTTTATTGTTTTTACACCTGTTTGACTAGTGCTGGGCCAAGATGCTCTGTGCAGCCCCAGGGGCCTCTCATGTATCTGGCGATTGTGTTTCAGTCTTAGTTCTTGCTGGTGTGCTATGCGCTGACCCTCTGCCCTGGGTCCTTATGCCCTAGTCTTCATGAAGCCTCTGCTAGCTGCCATTCTCCCCTCTTTTATAGCATTTCTCATGTCCTCCATTATTTTATCTCATGGTGGACTGTGACATCACTTCCTTCACTAATCCATTGTGAAGTCCTTGAAGAAATGGCCCTGAAGGACAGTTCCCTTTGGCAGTTCTAAGTTCTGCTCCACCCACTTTCCTAGGATCCTCCCAGGACACTTCTGAGAAGGAGAGGGTCATTTCAAGTCAGCTAGTGAGTCTCATATTGTAACTGCTGATAGTGTAACTTCAAACTGGTCTTAGTTTTATCACATGATCATTGGAATTGTTACCTATCACTTTTGGGGGGGTGAGATTTTCTTTGGGTGTTGCTGGACATTGAGCCCAGGGCCTTGTGCAGGTTAGGCAAATACTTTACTGCTGAGCTATAGCCCCAGCCCTTGTTGTCACTTTTAACAGATGGTATGAAGTTGCAGTTGGTCTTCATGTTCCTGACAATGAAATAGCAAGCCCTCAAGACCCTGTGTATCCTGGGACATGAATCTGCCTAGTATCATTGATCTTCTTGTTGATGGTTCATAGCTCCTGTCCCTTAAATCACCCCACTGGGGTCTATTCAAGAGTGGTAACCAGACTTGTTTTGCAAAGAAGGCTGTTGGGAGAGACAGGGAGATGGAAATAAGGGTGAGGAAAGGTGTGTGCCTCTGAAAAGCTGTGTGCAGGGGAAGCTGTAGCATGGACCCCAAAGGATCCCCCTATTGTGGGGAGTGCTGTGCCACTGCCTCCAAGAGCACTTGGGTAGAAGATATTCTGTGTCTCAAGAAAAGGATAAGGCAATGCATCCCTGTTCCAAGGACCCCATATAGACCAAAATCCTCAGTTGCTCGAGTTCCATATGTAAAATGGCATGGTTTGCCTAGAACCTACACACAGTTGCCCCTGTACTTCAAATCATCTCTCGATGGCTCAGAAAACCCAGTAGGATGGTGACGTGGTGACTTTTCTGTTGCTGTGATGAAACACCATGACCAAGGAAACTTATAGAAGGAAGAGTTTATTTGGGCTTATGGTTCCAAAGGGTAAGATTTCATCATGGCAGGAGGCATGGCAGGAGGCAGCCAGAGCAGAAAGTGTCAGCTGAGCTA